TGGTGCGAGTTCCTTTGTTTTGGAGGTTCCACTGTGCAACTTGCGTCCCAGCGTAATTAATTCCGTATCATGTGACCGGATTGTGCAAAGGGCCTATTATCAGTTGTATTGTGTCCGCAGAAAAAAAAAAATTAAAAATATGTTGGTACATGAATTTTTCGGTGAGGCTGTTGATAAACCTGACAATGGCTAAGTACCCATTATTCTGTGGCAAAACAACGCGTTGTTAGAACAATGTACGTGGGGTTTTATTAAATATCTAATAATACGTGTCAATGGAAATATCATATGTATAGTTCGCGATTTAGGTAATCCACAACGACAGAATCTTATGCATGTGGTTAGTTGAACGATCTGTGCTCCTCTTAATTTGTCCAGGTCGTTTAACAACTGAACATATGGGTCTTAGTAATATTATCCGTCCTTCTGTTCATTGTTTTTCCTGAGCACATTCTTTCTTCTCTGTTTTTGATGTATATGCTTTTCAGAGCCTCCTTTGTATGAAATAATTGTAACACCTGTTTTTCTCGCCGGTTTTGCCGGTATTACGTTATCAGCACTGTACTAAATCATTTATCGAGGGAAAACAAAGATTATTTTTGTAGTAATACTTGTTTTTTTGTAATGTAATCATTACTTTTGGCAGGTGAATAGTTTGATCTACGTATGGTTGTAAGATACGCAAGAGAAACATCTTCTCCCTTCCCCAAATCCATTTTTCAAAAAATGGTAAGGAAGTTTGTATACTTCTCAAGACTGTAAATCAAAACTGAGAATACATCCACGGAAGGCTGGCACTTCATCACGTCACGGAGACCTGCGATCTTGAACGACCTTCGGGAGTGAATCAGGAAAGTCCTGATACTTTGAAACTCACTGTGGCTCCTTGCTTGACAGCGGAGCCACCAGTCGTGCAATCATGCCATTCTGCTATCCAGCCATCGTTTGTGTTATGCACTTTTATACACTGCAGTATCTTTCTCTTCAGCTCTTTCCATTCTTGCTTCACCGTGTCACTCTGAATACAGTCCGCGTGCCACTAGAGACACAATTTAGAACTGAAATGATTTGATGGATTTTCTTTTGCAGCTCCCATTGTTAATATGGATCAGACTATTTGTGCCGTCATTTACACGCATGCTCTGTTTTCCTCGTCGGTTTGGAATTTGAAGTTTATTAAGCCTCAGGAATTTGTTATTGAATGGAGTAGCTTTTTGAGATATGGTGTCAGTGGACATACTGTACTTGCCTAAAACAACGGATTTCCAAATTCCCATTATTGGGTACGTAGCCGGTATGGTTCATATGTAAAGAGAACTCTAAAATGTTACTCGTTTGGCTCAGTGAGATTACTATATTAATTCCCCCTAAAAAGAACGTTTTTTGAAATCAAACGTCGCATCTTTGAGATGCTCAACAACACACTTCAGTGAACATTTGGAAAGTATAATAGTTCTAATGTAGAGTTTGCAGTTTCGTGTCTTCTGGCCGTTTCATTATTTAAATAATTCATTTGCTGTTTAAAACCCTTGAAACAGAAAAAATTCTACTGAGGTTTTAGTCTACCAGGCATTATCTTTACATGTAGTTGTAAAGCGATACTACATGTTTTTTAGTTACAAGCATTTTCACACTTCTTTGTATAAAGGTCAAATTATGATCTGCAAGAAAAAGCACTCAGAAGCATTTACTCAGTATCAGTAAAAGAAACAAGTTCGCAGTCTCCTTAGCAGACATTCATGTCGTTCGTTAAGTGAGCTCTTGTCACACTTGTCACACTCACGATCCAGAATAATGGCTTCATAATTAAGGGAGTGACAAGTACCAGGTGATGGCGGATTAGTCGACGACGTTTTAGATCGTGGTGCTATTCTTCGATTGAACAATTAAAAATGGAAAGTTTAAATTACGAGCCGGCTTCGATTAAGATTAGGAAAAAAAAAACCCGCACTTTTCCTTTGATTCATATCCGTGATCTTTGACAAATCATCCAATTTGTGAACAGCAAGCTATGTCACCTTTCCCTGACTAATGATCTTTTCTTACAGTGCAAGTTGATTCAGAAAGTTCAACTTTGAGGCTCAAACCAACCGAAATTGTATTACTCTGTACCAAACATCGCCCCAAATAAGCATGTTTGTGGCTTTCTTATGAGGCTTTATAAGAAACTATAGTCTTTGTAAACCTCATTGTTCTCATTCTAAGCCTTCTGCTTTCTCTTGAGGAAGCAGATTTTTCCATGATCTTCACAAAAAAACAGAGTGTGCCATGAAAACCTCCCCTAAATTGCCCCGGATTTTTTTTTTATAATATCATCATCATAACTTTCACAGCTCTTACAAAATCGATGGAGACAGATTCTTCATACAGAAACTAACTTTTAAAATTGGAATGTGACATGAAATCGACGGATCCAGTTAGATCACGGGACATGCGTAAAGACTAAATTAGACCTTATATAATTTCTTTTGAAAGAATATTTCTTTTTAGAATAACTTAGATATCAAGAAGCAATTAGGCCTAAAAGACTTGCTTTTATTATTTTACATTGTTTTTCATTATTCTACCACGAATGGTTTGTAAATTTACATACTGCTTGAAGGGATTTTCTTCCTAATCTCGTAATTACAACTAATCGTTCTCTTTTTCTTCACCAATTCTCTGGTTCGTCCATGTCCAGTATTCGTCTGCAATCCAAATTACTAGCAGCTTCGCACAGACTTCGTTGGAAATTCAGCCCAATGTTCTAAAGCAGAAAAAAAAAAAATTCACATTTCAGGGTTTTACCTTTGTAATATTTTTATCATTATTTGAGGTTCGTCCATGTATGATACTGTTTTACCGTCAAGCTATTCACATTGTGCCAGTTAATTTGGAATCTGCCAGTGCAGCAACCAAAAAGTTAAGGCAAAACAGAAGTCCCTAGATTTAATAGCCAGGTCGTTATATTAGTGCAATACTCTGCATGCGTTTTAAAATTATTATTACGAGAAAATGCTCAACATTAAACTTGCCTCTTTACCTTATTAACCGGGCCATTAGCAAGGTCCTTTTTAGCCTTTTTAGTGGGACTAGGCCAGTACGACATACCAATACCAACACAGTCTTGCATGACTAAGGCAACAAGGAACGTACAAAGCAATACATAACTACACGTTGATTTCATCCTCACTTTATCGTACGGACAGATCGTCTGTTTGGTCTGAGGATATGCAAACTCGTCTTGAAGCTCATTTCAGTGGATATTTATCAATACCTAGGGCACCGTACAGTCGGCAGGGGATAATCAATTACACCGTATACCCCTGAGTGTTGTCCATCAGTTATTTTCCAACAGTTTTGATATGAAAATCCCTGCCGTGGTAGAACAAAGCACAAGCAGCCGGGCCATGTCCGTTTTCAAAGATCTGATAATACTGACTCCACGGGCAAGATAATTAACACCACCCACTACGTCAGAGAGGAATATTTGTCCTTTGTCTTAAATGGGTAATTATTACCGGCTATTACTGATTATAAACCGCCGTGTCTTGTTACGGACACAACTCAGCCCCAACTTCAGATAGGAAAACACAGTTTTATATCAGGTCTTAAAATACACCAGGATTCAATCTTTGATTGATTTATTTGTCGCCGATAGATCCTGTTCCTTTTCCCTCGACAATACGTCTGAAAAAGGTCGCCATGAATTGCAGCACTCTTATTACGTCGATATACTTCCGCTTTTTCTTTACATTAACGATTGGTATTGCTTTAAAATAGCTTCTAAATGTTTGAGTTTTGGAGATAACTGAAAAAGTTTCCCTTCCACTATGGCTCGATCACTTTGTTTTGTATTTTACGTTAGGAAAGAAAACAGAAAAATTATGTTTTCTGGTGTTCCAAGTAATCACTGCACATGATATTTTCTAGACGACCATCAGCTTTAGGTGATAAGTATCATTAATTACGACATTTATTGTTCTATAATACACATCCTGATTGGCTGGTTAGTTATCAGTTTTGCGGGAGGTTTATAAGTCCTATCATGAGGTCACCTTGTTTATATAACTTAAATAGAAAGTTACCCCTTTCGTTCACATAGCGTGATGCAAATTCTCGAGTGAGTTAAGATACAGCTCTCTGTTATCTAACACATAATATAAGTCCTTACGTCGACAGTTTCTTGGACCTCATAGCAATTTTCTAACTACCATGAAAAACAAATTGATTCCTGTAGCAGGTGGAAATAAAATTATACGATAATTTTGTATTTCCTTGTCAAGCAGTTCTTATCTTCTCATAGTCTCATTGTCTTTCAAATTTATATCGTTTATTATTAAGGAAATTTCCCCCATAACATGGAAGAGGTCTCGCGGAGATCTTAGGAGAGATGACATGGAAAATGACGGCGAAATTTCGCCGACGTGCATAAATGATAATAGTTCCTCTTGCTTTTTGTTATTATTATTTTTGATAAAAGGCGTCCATGATCCAATCCGTTTATTTATTTTGTTTAATCTTCTGTGTTTTTGTTAATAAAAACCAAACAAATCAAAACGTTTTATATTTCAAATACACTCTTCAAAAGATTGAGGGTCTCTCCACAGTAAATCTCAGCCTCCTGGTTTATTTTTTCTGGAACAAACTTCAATCCCACTGGTAAAAGGTTGCCTGAATAAGCTATTCTGTCAAATTTTTCTTTTTACTATTTCAGGGTCAATGATAGTATTAACGTGTTCACAGCGCATAAACCACGGTTTCTAGGCTGCCTGTCCTCATAAATGAGCTTTGTTCATCAGAAAACAAAGCTGACTGAACTAATAACACAGCACTGTCAGAACGCTAGCTCTTTAGTCCATCACAGTTTGAAAAATGGCTATTTGTAGAAATTGTTGTGACTTAAACAAGTCAGTGTCACAGATAATAACTCTTACATCAATCGGTAGCGAACACTTCTTATAAATCTGTTTTCTTGTAGTTCAAATAAATATTAAGACGCGCAAAGAAGTTTCAAATTGCTTTTTAATAAGAGACACAATTTAAATTTGCAGCTGCAGATACTGCTCGGCCTCCTGCTGTTTTTTCATTTCAGATGTTGATAACTGGCACAAAGCGTGCCGATGTTGCGGATTATTTAAACATCATTTGCTATTTCCATGATTTAAAGAGGTCCAGCTGACAGGCAATGAATTATCTACAGATCAAGACAATCCAAGCAAGCACCAAATAACTGTCTTTAATAATCCACGTTTTAATGTCACTTTATAACGGACGTGATTTGATTTTTTTTCCTATTTTGTTTCTGAACGTCGCTGAGACAAAAGGGAAAAATAAAAATCAAGTCACTCAAAAACTTGATCATAGATCGCCTCAATTTTTTTAAGGTCATATTAAAGCTAAGACTGTAGCGTAATTTTAGGGAGTAAAAACAATTTACGCAAAGGCTGCTTTCACCAGCCGTGAATCTGTTCATTTCGTGTGTTCTAGGGGCAACTGTTAATCTGTTCTTCTGACTGTGTCGTACTCATCTAAACTTAAGTTTTCGTTGTTTGGTTGGAGACATATATAGTTAAAATGGAACACGAACACCAGTGATATTGTGAATGATGACATAGCACTCAATCTACCACTTTAAAACTCTCCAGGAGACTAAAACATCAGCTTTCTGAACTGAAAGGAGATCTAGTGAGGGTTAAGAGAACTATAATTGGCTAAGTGTTGTCTGTGGAAGCCATCAACCAATCATAGTTCAAGCTTTTTAAAAAATCGTTGCCAGACATCGATATCCTGTTGCCGCAAACTGGTTCCCAGATTCTTTGCGTTTCGACTCTAAAGTAAAGAGAACGTAACTTCACTTTTTTCTTCTGATTATTTAGTATGTGGGAGTTTCACGTGACGTTATTCGTTAAGCTCCCAAAATACTCGTCAGATGGAAACCAAAATTCCTGTTAAGTGAAACAGATATTCGCTGATAAGTAACAATTTGTAAATACAAAAAATAATTAAGATTTTATGAGATTTTTACTTGAAAGACTGAAAAAATTGATTTTCATCTGCAAGCTCCACAGTTGTCAACTTGGAAAAGTAGACTTGAGCATAATGCATACTTCTTGTCAAGTTGAAGTTTCTAACCAAATACAATATTTGACTTCCTCCTGAACAATCTGCAGATTAGACCAATAATTTATCCATAACTAGTCTTCATTAACGAGATACCACACTAAATTGACCGCAAACTGAAAGCGTGGCAATCATTTAGAGAGAGAAAGCGGAAGTTGTAACTTAAGACAGCGATTTATTTTAAACGTTTTTACATTATCTTCATGAAAATTTGATTTCTTCTCATTTATTTTCCCACATTTACCGACAAAACCCACTTAATAATTCAAACCTGCAGGGATGACCTGAAATTACAAATTTATTTTCCAAGACTGAATTTCGTGGGTAATTGTTGAGGATATAAAGGCACCAAGCTTCATTGCACGTCATATTCAGGGACACCTTCCTCAGGAGACGAGCGGTCATAAAGCTTAACAAAGTCAAGTTGTGAGAATGAAATCGAATAAGCTGGCAGCCTTTTTCCTCTTAACGTTATCACTGATCTTGCTGATGTCCAGCAGTGAAGGGTTCACAGGAACAGTTCCAGGTAAAAGGGATTCCTACAGAATGGTGAGTATTTGTGAGCATCTAAAAAAATGTCATTATTGCAATCAGTCTCCAACAACATTTATCCTGAAACATACTCTCACCAGGATGACTACACATAGTTTTAAAGGATACTTATAAACAGTCAATAACTGCATTCTTTCTTAACAATCACCTCATGTGGACGACTTCAGAGCACCGACACTAGTGCGCAGTTGGGTTTAGAGTTAAATTACATTTTACTTTCTCGTGTTTTTACTGTTAAGGTTTTGTAGATCTTAGGATTAGTCTAGGTCAAAACCCTCACAGAAAAGTTACAAAAATGATCTTATTCGTGATTGAACAACTGGGCCCTGCCATGGGTTTAAGCCATTAAACCAATGCAGTTACTTGTTCCACAAGTACAAACTGATTCTTATACTAACACCTTTTCCCCCTGAAACCCTTGTACAACAAACATCACAAGAAAATAAGTCTTTTTCTGACTTTGATAAAACCAATTTCCTGATAAGAAGTATTTCGATGAATAATCTTTAGGAGATTCCACAGAACTACCGGCGGAGTTTGTGCGCAGCAGCACGTAACCTGGACTGCAAGCGAGTGCTGGACCCCGACTCTGAGAATTGATGAAAAGAAGGATTCTTCGAAAGCCTCTCTTGGATCTAAGTCGTTGCACAGTTCTTTAAGAAGATTAGAAACTAAATGAATGAGTAGTGAAAGAATAAAACATGTTAAACATTTACCGTTTGATGTCTAGTTCACTTCTTGAAGATTAAAACCTGGTTAGGAGAGATCAAAAGAGCACATGTAGTGTTTTGTATGACAAGGAAAATATCCCTTCTTTTAACTTTTATACAAGTGCTCAGTTTTTGTCGTCTAATTTCTGTAAGTTCTTCTTTTCACGGCCGATAACTAACATATGCCGCACTTGAATGATCATGAGGCAACCGAGCTGAGCGACCTGGTGTCTATGGAGGGCGATAGGAAATTGGTAGTTACGATGAAATTTTTCTTTTTCTGGAATAACAAAAAGTGAGTGGGTGGAATGCCACCCTAATCTTCGTTAGAGGTCACTACGGGATTAATATATGAAGGCTTTTTATCCCCAAGAGCTAGACAAACACCTCGAGAGGAATGCAAGGGCAAAGCCATCTTGAATATATTATAAAGTTCAAGGGTTTTCAATGCAGCCGATGGTCAGAAGTACTTGACTTGGCGGCTACGATTCTCCTCATAGGAAACCTACAAAACTGAAAGCTGATGAACGTTTTCGTAGATACTGTATTTTGTCAAGCTACGATGTTTTAGTGACATACTCAAGTCACAAATAGGCGAAGTCGGATGAATATAGGATATCATCATTCAGTGTTCTTGGATAAAGCTTTGAGGTGTATCAACGTTTTTTTCTCGCAAATTGAAAGTTTGAAGTTTTCGAACTCTGCTGGATTCTCATGGTAGAACGTTTATCAGCTCCCGCGAAAAAATGCATAAAAGTTTCTTAAAAATCTAACATTCTTCCATTGAGTAAAACGAAAATCATAGAATTCAGGTGAATCTGTCTTGGCAAAATTCGTGACTCTACTACTACTGTTGTTACAAGTGTAAAAAAAGTCAATAAAATAATAAAAATTATTGGATGAGGTTTTTGTGATATCCAGGATAATCAAGGTCGAGGTAGGGGTTATCAGCCAAAGCCGAAGACTGAGGCTGATAACCCTTACCGAGACCTTGATTATTCTGAATATCACAAAACCGAATCTAATAATTGTTTTACTATACATTGAACGAAAAAAAAATGGAAGTCATGTTTTTGCTTCTTCACTGACGGCAAGCAATACAAAGCTCGCGAACTTGACATGATTACCCTTAAAAATCATGCACCGTGGTCATACATGACATGATTACCCGTGACCTTGAGTGTCCTTGATTAGGCGCTGATTTCGAAAATACACTGCACGCTTTCTGCTAATCAGAAAAGAGATAGTGAGTTCAATGTATAATAACTCGCATAACTGGAAGCCACACATGTACACATTGCGTACCTATTGGCTGTTTTTCCATAGTAGAGAGTTTTTCTCAGTTGCTTTTTAAAATATCAAAAACATTGTACATGACTATGATACAATTTTCTTATCCGTACGCGATATTAACTGAGATTTTCTCATGAACCTCCACATTGTCAGTAAACCTTTATTCTGGTCATGTTGCTCTTGCATCATAATAATCAAGATCTGTAAAAGGGTTAAGATGCTGGATACTTATTCACAGATTCATAAGCGGACGTATCGGATTTTGTTTAAATGTTTCTTGATTGTTGTCTTTTAAGCCTTCTTGACCAGTGGAATATTCGTTTTTCTCTCCTTTAATTGCAATGTTCACTATCGTGGAAGACTAAGGGGATCCCGAATCCCTTTCAGTTAGATTAAGGTCTGATACTCCTGAAGACTCGTCTTTCACTTTTGAGATTTCCTGGCTAACGTTACTGTTGAAAACCAAATTTTCCTCTCGAACGTCATCAGTGGATGTGCCAGAATTTCGCTCACTAGCTGCATGCTGTTGTCCTGAAGTCAGCTCTACGTTGTTCTCATTTTTGTTTGCATTAAATATCAGAAAGCCACGAAAACAAGGGCAGTTTAGCGCGGCGACAGTTTTAACCACTTCTTTTATCTCAGAGCCAACTCCCATTCCTGACTTTGAATCTTCCTCTTCTACGCCATGGCGGACATCTTCCTGTATATTATATGAAGCAGCTGGAGGCATCTGTAGAGACTGTAACTGTGCATGCTCAATCTGTGAAGTGTCGTAAAATTGCTTTTCATCAGGAAATACAGTCACTGAGCGTAGAGTATCGCATTCCCTTAGAACTACTTTCTTTATTTCTTTGCACCTTGCAATCAAGTCTATATTCTCTTGCGATTGTTTAACATTTCGCATCAAGATCATGTCAATACGGTTACCTTCCAACTTTAACTCACTGATTCTACAACTGTTAAAATTTAAGTTATCTATTTCCTCGGCATTAATTTCTACTCGAGCGAAGATGCACTTGCTGGCACAAAACGTCCTCAATCTTTTTTCTGCCGATATTCGCACGACGCGGCATGGTGTCTCACGTTTCTTTTGGCCGACATTTAGCAGAAGGTGCTTTATTGCCTTGCACTTGATATTCATTGAATTTATCTTCGGTAGGGAAATGTAAGCATCAAGAAGAACGTTGCATTGCATATCTATGCAGCACTCTGCTGTTGTAATGGAGAACTCTTCACGATCAGCTGTGTTGTGATAGTTACACATAAATGATTTTAATGTTGGGCAATGGACACGAATTTGCTGCAGTTTGAAGAAATCTGTTATCCACAGACACAGTTCTGTTAATACTCCACTAGTACTGGTTTCCATTTGGGATAATTGAAACTGATTCACAAGATGTCCTCTAAAAGTGCAATGTTCAATTCTCCTGTTATGCTGTAAAACTTTTTCGATTGTCTTTGAAGTTAGCGATCCACAATTTGCCACCTCAAAGCGTTTGAGAGTCGTGGATGAGACATGCACTGATTGCAGGTTTTCAAGGAAGTTTAAGAACAACCGTTCCAACCTTGAAGACACGACTTCAAGAGATTTCAAGTTGGTGCAACCACTTAAAATGAAAACCCTTAACTTGGGCATCGAACACTTTAACCGCATAATATTCTTCGCTGGTAGGTCATCCAACTCAAAATATTCCAAGCTTTTGGAGTCAAGATATTGATACCCTGTCATACAGCGGTGATTATCGAGGAAGCACAATTTCAAATACCTCAATGATTTGAGACGTTTCAGCAGTAGTCTCAGCTCTTTGTGGCCGATGGAGACATACCTAAGGTCAAGCCTTGTCACTTTTGAAACGTACTTTGATAATAAAAGACACCTTAAAAGTCTTACACTGTTCCGATTCATCGGGATGTTGGCTTCACTGCTATTATAAGCAGATATTTGTAATTCTTTGAGATCGAGGGCGTTTACAAATTCCATTAAAGCCTTTTCTGGCACTCGGAGCATGTTAATCGACAACTTTAAGACTTTAAGTTTTGTGCACCTTTCTTTGACAAGTTGAAGATGTCCTGGACTAATCAGCGAGACTGGCTGCCTGAAGTTTTGAGTCCACTGTGTATTCGACAAATCCCAGAAACCGTAAATATTGAGTTCTTTTAGTTTGTCGGCGCTTTTGAAAGTCACAAACTGTTCAAGGTTCCAGGGAAAGGTAGGGATGTCAATACACGTCAGGTTTGTCATTTCTAACGTTACTCGATGTACGAAGAACCAAAAGTCGCCTCCAAACACGATGTCAAGAGAAGCCACTCTCAAGCACTTGATGAAATCATTATATTCTCTTAGACAACTCAAAACGATGTTTTTCTCCTTTTCTGTCAGCTGACGAGGCGTAAGGTGGATATGCTCCCAAAGTGAATTTGTTGTCTGGATAATTTCTTTCCACTGATGACATACAACAGAAAATCTTGCCAGCTTATCGTAAACAGGGTGCAGAAAATCAAATATTTGAGTTACCAGCTCGACTGGCAACTGTTCCATGACTGTTGTAAATTATATCATAGATCGTTGCATTTTGGCTTATGATGTTGTTGTCTTCAATCAACGTTTGTTTACGACACGGTTTACTTATTATTACATCATCGTTTGTTATAATAGCGCGTGCACAGTTGTTAGATTTCAAAATCAAAAAAGCTATGAGAACAATGCATTTGGAGAGAAATGTAAACAATGTTGAAAGAATTTTCTTGCTTTATGTTTTTTTAGAGAAGAAATGAACAGTTTTGTTGAATACAGTACTATAGCTAGTTCAGTGCTCTGCTGCACGCGGAAATACACGTACATTGTATTACGTATGAGCACAACGTGCGCGCGAGCATCAGCCGGACACGCACGTTTTATGCGAATATTGCGACATTGGGTAATTTTGGAGCTGTTGCGGCGAATGGAAAAAAAAACTGATAATACCAATCGACTTATTTTATTGTTTTAGTCTCACAAAAGCCCGGTGAATCTGAAAAGAGAGATTTATTGCGATGTACAGCGAGTGGCAAAGCTGCGAGCTCTTAAATTATTCACGTAAATCCCTGCGTATTTACCTGCAGTTGATTACGCATTTGTCTGATTCTGATAGACGTACGACTAAGTGCAATACCTTTTAAGGAATCTAATTTTCAACTAATTCGAAATAACAAAGACAATAGACGTCATCCTAACAAGATTAAGACTCAACTAAGGATACACTATAAAATTGTTTTCTGAGGTGCGTCCGTCTCATTACAAGCTGTTGAACATGGCACCGTCTGAAAAGATAATTCACAAGCTATCCTTCCGTACGTTCTTTTCCTTTAAAATTATGTGTTCACGTTTTGCTTTTTTCCCTAATTTTACTTCCAAAGCAACCCAGAAAGGTGAATCAAAGCCTTAATTCGATCAAAGGACGTCAAATGAAAAACTACGGCTTAGAACGTTATTAGGGATTGCCATCTGCCTTGATCAATGCCCGTCAGATCTTTTGTTAGCTAAGAAAGAAATTCACATCCCGATACTTTTTAAAGCAAAGTAGAAGAATAATTTCGGGATTTATGAGGATAATATAATTATAATACTGAGTGATACAGCCAAACAAGTAGAGCCTAACACCTCATTGGTTCGCGGTTTCCGACATTATTCAAATTAAAAGTTGCAGCTACTAATGCTTAGCACCTTTTTTTG